AGCAGTTAGTCACATTTAATTGGACTTGTTCTTTAATGTTTAAGATGTACAGTTGCAAGAAAAAGTATGTGAACCCCTTGGGATTACGTGGAGTTTTGCATGAATTGGGCATAAAATGTGCTCTGAATGTCATCTAAGTCACAACAATAGAAAAACACAGTCTGCTGAACATAATACTACACAAACATTAGATGTTGCCATGGTTTAATTGCACATAACATGTAAACATTCACAGTGCAGGGAGGAAAAAGTGTGTGAGGCCCTAGCTTAATGACTTCTCCCAGAGCTAATAGGAGCCAGGAGTGAGCCAACCTTGACTCCAATCAGTGTGATGATATTGGATGTGTTGCTGACAGCTGTCCTGCCCTTAAAAAAAACACACACCTGTTTTGGGTTTACTGGTTTCAAGAAGCACTGTCTGATGTGAACCATGCCTCGCAGAAAAGAGCTCTCAGAAGACCTACGATCAAGAATTGTTGACTTGCATGAAGCTGGAAAGGGTTACAAAAGTATCTCCAAAAGCCTTGATGTTCATGTGTCCACAGTAAGACAGACTATCTACAAATGGAGAAAGTTTAGCACTGTTGCTACTCTCCCTAGGTGTGGTCGTCTTGTAAAAATGACTGCAAGAGCACAGCGCAGAATGCTGCATGAGGTAAAGAAGAATCCAGAGTGTCAGCTAAAGACCTACAGAAATCTCTGGCACACATGCTAACATTTTTGTTGACACATCTACAATAAGGAAAACATTAAACAAGAATGGAGTACATGGGAGGACACCACGGAGGAAGCCATTGCTGTCCAAAAAGAATATTGCAGCACGTTTGAAGTTTGCAAAAGAGCACCTGGATGTTCCACAGCACTACTGGCAAAATATACTGTGGACAGATGAAACCAAGATTGAGTTGTTTGGGAAGAACACACAACAATATGTGTGGAGAAAAAAAAGGCACAGCACACCAACATCAAAACCTCATCTCCACTGTAAAACATGGCGGAGGGAGCATCATGGTTTGGGGCTGCTTTGCTGCCTCAGGGCCTGGACAGATTGTTGTCATTGATGGGAAAATGAATTCCAGAGTTTATCAAGACATTTTGCAGGAAAACGTACGACCATCTGTCCGCCAACTGAAGCTCCGCAGAGGATGGGTGATGCAACAGGACAATGACTCAAAGAATACAAGTAATTCAACAAAACAATGGCTGCAACAGGACAGAATACGCCTTCTGGAGTTGCCCAGTCAGAGTCCTGACCTCAACCCTAATGAAATGCTGTGGCATGACCTTAAGAGAGCGATTCACACCAGACATCCCAAGAATATTGCTACACTGAAACAGTTTTGTGAAGAGGAGTGGTCCAAAATTACTCCAGATCATTGTGCAGGTCTGATCTACAACTACAGGAAACATTTGGTTGAGGTTATTGCTGCCAAAGGAGGGTCAACCAGTTATTAAGTCCAAAGGTTCACATACGTTTTCCTCCCTGCACTATGAATGTTTACATGTTATGTGCAATTAAACCATGGCAACATCTAATGTTTGTGTAGTATTATGTTCAGCAGACTGTGTTCTTCTATTGTTGTGACTTAGATGACGTTCAGAGCACATTTTATGCCCAATTCATGCAAAACTCCATGTAATCCCAAGGGGTTCACATACTTTTTCTTGCAACTGTATGTCTACTCATCCAAGTAGTTCTAATGAGTGTCAGAACATATAATAGCATTTATTCCCATGTAGGTAACTCTGGCACTTTAATTCAATCACAATGGAATGTGTCAAGGTAGATGTTGATTGTCCAAGAACATGATGGGATGTGTGAATATTTGTGAAAACTGACATCATGGCACAGGGTGTTTTTGCAAACTTTTAAGCTGGACATAGATGGATCGAATCTCAGCTATTTCAGAAAGGACTGGCCGAGATTCAATCCATCTTTGGGCAGGCTGGTTGTACTGACGTCGACCCATCAATTGACTTCAGTATAACCAGCCTGTCAGATTCTTCAGATGAGATTACTGCCGGCGGCATTGAGTTTTGCCGTGCAGGAAGGCTTCCTCACTGGCAGAACACAATATTTCCATAGGAGAGTTTCCCCCATCAACATTGACTGTGTTGATGGGGGAATTGAGCTTTTTTCTTTCTTGCAACCAGTGTTTCCAGGAAAGAAATTTGAATAATCTATGGCTTGCCTTACACTTCCCATTATATTCTTAGACAATCACATCATATTCAGAGAGTAGTGGTTAATGATTCATGCTCTGAATGGTCTAGGGTTGTCAGTGGTGTACCCCAAGGTTCAGTGTTTGGACCCTTACTTTTTAATATATTTATAAAAGATATAGGGTCTGGGATTAAAAATCCCATTTCAGTCTTTGCAGATGACACCAAGCTGTGCAGTGGAATAACGTCCTTACAGGATGTCTTCAACTTACAAGCCGACCTCAATGCAGTGTTTAATTGGGCAACTATGCGGCAAATGAGGTTTAATGTTGATAAATGTAAGATTCTGCACTTGGGGGCTAAGAATATGCATGTATTATATATACTGGGGGGGGGGTACAACTGGGGGAATCTATGGTGGAGAAGGATCTGGGAGTTCTGGTAGATCACAAGCTTAATAATGGCATGCAATGCCAAGCTGCGGTTTTCTAACACAATCAAAATTCTCTCTTGTATTAAAAGAGGTATAGACTCCAGAGAGAGAGATATAATTTCCCCCCGGTACAAATCGTTAGTAAAAACCTCATCTGGAATATGCAGTTCAATTTTGGGCACCAATTCACAAAAAGAACATTGGGGAACTGGAGAAAGTACAGAGAAGGGCAGCCAAACTGAATATGAGGCATGGAGGAGCTCAGCTATGAGGAAAGATTAGAGGAACTGAATTTATTCTCTCTTGAGAAGAGGAGATTAAGGGAGATATGATCACCATGTATAATACATAAGGGGGGATATGATCACCATGTATAATACATAAGGGGGGATATGATCTCCATGAATAATACATAAGGGGGGATATGATCACCATGTATAATACATAAGGGGGATATGATCACCATATATTAAATACATCAGTGGTTCATATAGTGAACACGGGGTAGAGCTATTCACCCTGAGGTCATCACAAGGACAAGGGGCACTCTTTACGTCTGGAGGAAAAGAAATGTAATCTCCAAACACAGAAAGGTTTCTTCACAGTGAGAGGTGTGAAAATGTGGAATAGACTCCCTCAAGAGTTGGTTCTGGCCAGCTCCATGGATTGCTTTAAAAAAGCCCTGGATTATTTCCTAGATACACATAAAATAACTGGATACTAACATTTTATAGGAAACGTTGATCCAGGGAATATATCTGATTGCCGTTCGGGGGGATCAGGAAAGAATTTTGTTTCCCTGCAGGAGCAAATTGCATCATACTTTGCTGTGTTCTTTTGCCTTCCTCTGGATCAACTGTGCGTATAGGATTATAACTTCGTTTTATTTAATGTTGAACTGGATGGACTTTTGTCTATTTTCAGCCAGACTAACTATGTAACTATGTAACATCTGCCTGGTGTTACATTCTATGGTGATTTTTTTTAAGGTGACTGAACAGATGTTAAATGCTGGAAAAAATGTTCCTGATAATCATTATAACTGAAGAAATCACCTGGACAAGCAGTGAAATGTCTTTAACAGTGAAAGTGACTAACTGCTACTAGCTGCATTTAAGATCCTAAAAATGCTGTACAGACAATTGCTAGTAGCACAAATGCCTGTATACATAGACCCAAAAGCTGAGTTTGTCCAACATTTCACATGGTATCTCTAAAGCACATGGCATCCCTATGGTATACAAGAACATTATGCAAGACAAAACACAGCATTTCAGGGGAAAATGGCTTGCCTTTCAAATGTGTCTTCAGACAGGTTTGCTGTGCTCTCGTAGTCCCTGCTGACTTGTTTGGAGTAAAGAAAAGTGGTAAATGGCATAAACAGTAAATTTACGGGAACACTGCTCCACATGATCAGTTTCAAACCCTGGATTTCAGATTCTCAAAAATGCTTCACAATACAATGTTAGAAAAAAAAGCTACATTTGTTTAAAATAGCCTTAAAGGTTATTAGTCGGGATAAGGTTCGTGTTCACTGGGTTCACTATGGATTTGTAAGAAATTCGCAGGATTCACAAAATTTGTGGAATTAGAAAACTTTTGGCCGAAAAGTTTGCTGCTTCGCCACGAAAAAGAAGGAACAAAATTATAATGCAGTGCATAGCCTTTGTCATGGGTAAACTGGGTCATCAGAGCCAATAATTTGAACGAATGGATAACTCAAACTGCTTTCTAAAAAAAGGGCGCGGGTCACCATCTTCTAAATGTGTGTTGGAACTCTTAGGCCCCCTTTTCACACTAACAGTTCAATCAAACCCTTCATTCTTCTCTATGGAGCATCAGGTGACATGTGTCCGTTTACACCAGCTCGCATCCAACCCATCCATAAAAAAGATGGATGGGGGAACCCGTTCCCTTCCATCTGGGTGGATCATATGGCAGTCATGTTTAAAACGGACAGGCGGTCCGTTTACATACAACCACCCATAGAGGAAAATGGCTGTGTCTGTGCTCACCCTCTCAGTGGGGAATCAGCGGATAGATCCTGGCAGAGGGGGCCTTAAGAATAATACTATGATATACTTTGTTGGGAGAGATACTGTATTTTTAAAATATTTTATCATATATTACACATCACCTATTGCAGTGCCTTGCTACAACCAACCTGTTTCAGTGCTGATCAGTGTATTCTGCAAGTGAAAAATATCATAGCAGATGGACCCTTAAGGGGTGGCATCAGCTTCCCTCACCATCTCTAGGTGGCTTAGACAGATCATCATTCAAGTGTAAGATGGGGAAACAGCTCTCATTGTTTTGAACACTGTTTTGTGTGGAAGTAAATTAATGTTTTGACTGACATTCTGCAGTTTTAGCCACAAGATGTCACTGTTTTTCTAACACAGCCTCAGACTGCATAGAGATTTCTATATTCATGAAGAGGTGGAGTTTTCAAACAGAGTTTTTTGAGAGAACAGGAAGGAGAGAGAGAAGCCATGTTTTGGTGCATGGTGAATAAGGGCCATGTGAACTGAGAATCTGATGACATCCAGGTGTGAAAGCGTCCCTCAGTAACCAGTAGCTGCAGCTGAGTGAAGCTGATGAGATTGCTGCCCAGGAATGCTGATGAGATTGCTGTCAGGAAGCTGATGAGATTGCTGCCAGGAATGCTGATGAGATTGCTGCCAGCAAGGCTGATGAGATTGCTGCCAGCAAGGCTGATGAGAGCAGAGGAACTAAGCAACATATACCGGCGAGACTACATGCTTGTTGAGAGCGACATTTGTTCTGTTCAGAGTCACCAGCGATGCAAAGCAGACCCGGGTCAGTAAGATCGTGCACGCACCTCATTTCAGTGTTGGGCCTTGAGACTGAGTCCAGGCCTCCTATAGTTAGTTAGGGTCTCTGTTTGTGTCAGGCCACAAGTGTTATTACTGATTATTAGAAGGACTCCACAACTTAAAGTGACATTTCACATTGGAGAGCTGATAAAATCCTACATACTCAAGCCAGACTGGCGTTTTGCTCAGAAGGAATACTCAGGCACGTGCTACAGGACCAGTTATGGGAGAGGGAATACTGTAGATTTGTGTAAGATTGCAAGCTGTTGTGCTGCACCACAGGCAAGCCATACCGTACACCCATACACTGATTCCTGCTCTTTTAGGGTAATAACGGTAAGGTGTGGCACAGCTTAGTTGTGCCCGCCAGTAGGTAAATTACTACCTTTCTATTTTCATCATCAGAAGGTGCCGTGCTGTGCAGCACAGGGGTCTCAGCCTTTGGGCTGGGTGTATGTAAATTTATTGTATGTTCCCAGCATTTGTGTTGTGTTTATTTGCCACATCTGAGTAAAATTCTGTTGTGGCAAAAGCTGGTGTTGGGGTTGCTTTCCTCATTCGTGACTTCACTGTATCCTGGGGAGCCCACCCCGTTACACGGCTTACACAAGCTTATGGTTTGGTTTCACTCTTCCTATAAAGGCACGCTTTACTAGATCTGTGAGCACTTCTTGAGTTTTTTAGCATCAAGTGACTGTTTCCCAGATTTTCAAGGCTGCCACCAGTCTTCTGTCTACACATTTTCTCCAGGTGGACATTTCAGCTTCATTTGATACCAGCTTTGAGTGTAAGATTCTTCCGTTGGATCTTTAAGCTGCAGACAGTCCCCAATTCCTTTTTGTTTCCTTGGGCCTGGTAAGCTGGGCATACCTGGGTCAGTTTTTTCGATCAGTCAGTCAGCAGACTGAACTTATTCCCCCATCCACCTTGCTTGTGTGGATAAGCTTGAATGATGGTCTGTCTAAGCCACCTAGAGATGATGGAACGTGAAGCTGATGCACTCTTTCAGGGTCCATCTGGATGACAATGAAATCAGTCTTTTTGATCCAAAATCTGGTGAACACTTTTGAAGTCCATTAAGCATGACAGGAACCATCAATGTAATGTATTTGATACACAGTATAGATAAGTAACAGTACATTACATTGTCTGTCTGAATTTTTTATTGGTCTATTCAACAGAGCAAGTTCTTTAATGACACCAAAATTATTTAAAAAATTGGACCGAACTGCATGCTGTTTGAAAGTGTCCATACATGAGGAAGATTACTGTTTGATAGCCTGAAACTCTCTTTTGAACTGGCCATACGTGTTATATTCTGATTGCATAATCTCTGTACAATCTCCACAGCTAATCAGTATAATGTCATACCTAAGCAATCCATTGAAGCCTAACTACATCCAAAACTTTTTTTCGGATAGCATGGGGAGGAGTCAAAAGTTCTGCCAGGTATTCATTTATGTCTGTGATCTAATTAGAGACATATTCCCTAACCTGTACCTGTGACAACCATACAAGACATGGGATTTGTGGTCATCATCAGAAAAGGAAGACACAGAAATCAAAAACATTATTATAAGTTCCTGCCCTTCCAAAACACTATTGGGTCCCATTGAAAAGATTTTCCATCAGGAAAGGAAATCTCCCCAAAAGGGAAACACAAGCCATCAAAAACCAAAGACTCAAACTCTTCCCCACGCTATCCAAAATAATATAAAAGTTTTGACTGAAGTTGGGCTTTTAGCTTATATTCATCAAGTAGCCTCTTGCTGTCCTTTATGACTAGTAAATCTACAGTAGATTTCACAGGTGTCCACAAATTAGTACAACAGATATAGACCCTCAGAAACAAAATGTGGTTCAGCTAATCTTTGTAGCGGTTTTCGTTGAAGGTGGGGATTTCTACACTTTAATATGGGGGGGGGGGGCAGTCATGTAAGGGAGGTCTAATTTCCTTGGAAATCCCCTTTAAGAAGCACATCCTGGCCTTTATTATGCCAGCAGTTTTCTTTTTAATGTGACTTTCTGGTAATGGGAAATTCTGGGCCTGAAAATTGCTGTGGCGGAGTCTGAAAACATGTCACCTCAATAATAATCGAGACAAATTGAAGAATCACTTAATTGACCGTGATTGTGCCAGGCTATGTGGCTTCCTGTGACAGCTGAGACATTAAACAAGACTGGCAGGGCTTGTCACTGTAGCTCAGCACTGATAATAACATCTTTCCTGCCTACCTTGCTGTCTTCCTAAACGTTTTAGGGATGAGAAAAAGTGAGGCTGAAATTCAATGTATAAGAGAAGAACATTAGAGCAGTGAGCCTCATTTATCAACGTGACTACAAAAAAAATTGTGGTGCTGCACAACAAGCCTTCCAACCTCTTTTTACAGTTGTCATGTGTAGATCAAATCAGATTAGACACCCAGTTGAATAAGACACATCGTTAATAGAGATTTAAAAAAATGCTTTGTTCAAATTAAGATTATAGCCAAAATTACAGCACTAGCCAAGCTTGCTTGTCTATATCAATAAACCTGTTAAACAGTTGACTGACACTTCATTCTCTGGCAGGAAGACACTGAAGTTCTGCACCTCCAAGAATAAAGAAATCAGTAAACATAGAGGGCGCAGACTAAGTGCAGTAAGTAAGAAACTTTTAATAAAAATAATAAAGCCAAATGACCACTTATATGACTCAAGATCCAAGGAAGTATTAACAAAATCCATCCACGATGACTCCATTCCACACTGAAAGACAAGAGCAACACCGGTATCTGCTGCAGGGGATCACCACTACCATAAACCAGATTTTGCCAGATCACACACTCTAGCCAAGCACAATGAGGAGGCCTTGTGATAGCAGACTAAGTGCAGTAAGTAAGAAACTTTTAATAAAAATAATAAAGCCAAATGACCACTTATATGACTCAAGATCCAAGGAAGCATTAACAAAATCCATCCACGATGAGGACTCCATTCCACACTGAAAGACAAGAACAACACCAGTATCTGCTGCAGGGGATCACCACTACCATAAACCAGATTTTGCCAGATCACACACTCTAGCCAAGCACAATGAGGGGGCCTTGTGATATCACACTTCCTAGGTGGGGAAATGGGTGTGGCTATGTATTTCAGGAGCAATGTCCCCTTTCTCAGCCTTCCTTGATTTTTGAGTCATGTAAGTGGCCATTTGGCTTTATTTTGTTGCCAATTAAAAATTTCCCTGATCTTCTGAGAAGTTGAAACCCCTTAAGATGCCGAACTTGGCTTTAGAGCTTATCTGCTGAAAAAGCTGGAATACTTTACATCTTCTATTTAATTCTGAGACTGTGTTATGGACTCACCATTTATGCTACTACTGTTATATTTCTTCTGTTTTGGACGGATGCTGTTGTTTATGTGTGCTTAGTGTTTCTATGTGTATATGTAACACACTGATTTAATACTAGTTGCAGGATGTTAATTAAATACAAGATGGCAGTGTGCTTTGGTTCAGTTATCCAGACTCTATTGAAGAAAAGCCTTGTTGAACTTGTATGCTGAAAGCAGGACTTCTGAGCTCAGACAAGGAGTAAACAGACTACATTTCCCAAAAGAGTTGGCAAAGAGAATGGGAGCGTATATATTGAGAAGCACGGGAACTTTACAGGAAAGAAGTGAATGGTGAAAGGTGGAGGACAGATGTGTGCATGGAGAAGGTCATGCGGGGACTCTGGAGATCTGAGTTGGATCTGGCCATTGAGTGGAGGAGAAAAGAAGGACTGCTGACAGCTGGTGTTGTTGACGAACAGGACAGTCAATCCTGCGGGCAGGTGGACTGTCCAAGGGAGATGGGCAACACACAGCCTTCCCTCTACTTTCTGATCCAGAGACACAGCAGGAAATAAGGGGAGATCTATCTAAAGTGAATGGCTATAACCTCAATAGTTGTCACCATCTGATTTCCCCTCACCTCTTTTTTCTTGTGACAACTCAAAAGTATTAGATCTGCCATCACTTTCTGTACCAGAGACAATTTTTATCTGGACCAATAGAGAGAGTGAATCCTCCAAGCAGGGTGTCAGGGATCCCCTCGATCCCCCGCCGCGTTGGTCCCGGCGCAGGCGCAGTATGCCGCCCGGCGCAGGGACTCGAGCACTGGTTCCGGGCCGGCCGCGGCGTTCGAGTTCGCGCATGCGCAGTAGAAGCCGCGGCCGCCCGCTGGGCACCAATGGCAGCGCAGGGCGGGATATTTAAACGACCCTGAGCTGTCATTCAGTGCCTTCTGGTCTTTCCTGCATTCTGAATCCTGTGAACCTGTACCCTGTAAGTTATTGACCCGGATTGAACCTGACCTTGCTGTTTTCGCCTGTTCTGACCCTTGCTTTGCCTGACCTCTCTCCTGAATGCCCCCTATTGGATTTGACCTGCTGTTGCTGACCTGGCGTGTGACCCGACCATTCTATGCCCGCTGCCTTGTACCTTGCCGCCCTCTCTGTTACCGACCCGGCCCGTCTGACCCTGCTCATCCATCCATCCATCCCGTGCAGTGGGGTCTTCTGACCTCCTCACATCAGACTCTTCCCCGTGGGAGCCCCTTGCGCATACTACTACCACTGACGGACGCACCCGGTAGTCACGACCTGGTCTCAGGGAGCTCCAAGTCCATCCCCACCATCAGGGGCCCTGGTGAACAAGCACCCTGGGACTTAGACTCCGTGCGCTGGGGACGCCTATTCAGTGGAGTGCTAGTAGTACCGCCGGGCGGTCCCTTACAGTACCAGAAGGCCATGACTGAGTCTAGAGGAGGTCCCTCGCCGCTGGAGGAGGAGATCTGCAGGCACCTATCCAATTTGACACAGGCCGTATCGGCCCTGCAGGATAGATGTCAGCAGATTGAAACTCAATTCCAGGCCTGCACTAT